TACAAAAGGAAAGATCAGTTCTTCTCTATGTATCTTAACGATTATTGCTTATTCTCTCGAGTGTTGCGCGTACGAAGCTGGCTTGAACGCATTCACCAAGAAGAATCCACACACGTGGCCTACGATATATTATATATGGTAACTTCGACAGCTTGTCCGTTCTATCATTGTAGTAATAATCTCATAAACTCTTTATAAAACGACGGTATATCTATACAAAAAGAACAAAAAAATAAAAGCGGAAAAGATGTACGAGTCGGTAACGGCTTATGTGAAATGCACCACTCTCGCTTCCGGATATGTTTCCACGGGATTAAGTGTGCATCGTGGTCTGTCAGCGTCTCGCGTGGAGATCGTAGAAAAATAACGCAAGTTCGATTTATCTATCGCGATCCTGAGTAGAAAGTGTAGTCGATTTGATTTTTCCTTTCCTTCCTTTGCCTCGCGGTTCTTTTTATGTTTGGCACTTCACGCGTGTCACGCGTGAACGTTAAGTGTTAAAACCGGTTCGGATATCACCCGTGTCTCGACCATAGGCTCTCGACATCAACAGCAGTTAATAGTACCAGTGTTATTTCTCCGCGGTATAATCGGTAAAGTATCTATATATAACAGCGTTTCAATGCGGTGATGCGGTAGCAGTTCGATAATCCTTAATAAATCCCATCGGTAACACGTTCGTAACTATCGAATATAAAGTAAGGTAGCGGCAGCTTCATTCATTTAAACCTATTTCGCAACAGCGCTTGCACCGTTTCATTTATATGCTTGGTATATTTATATTTATACTATATATATTAATCGTTCCGTTCGTACGCCTCCTTAAAACGATCCTGATCGTTACCGCGAGGAGTCGCCGAAAATATGCTGAATTATACGTGTATATGTATATATGTATACATATCTATCAGAAATATATATGTATATATATACATATGCATATTCAATCCATAAGAAAAAGAATCGACAAAGCAAAAGGACGAAAAAATAAAAATCGAGAACTATCCGGCTTATTGTAATACGATTCACCTGAGATATGCGTCTTTTTTTTTCTTCTTCTTCTCATCGTAATCTACTCGCTTATTCTCTCTTGGCGTCGTGAATCTGCGTTTCAACCTGCTTTCAATTATTCGCGTTTTACTTCGGTTACGATCTTCCGGCGTTACGCTTGTCTCTAACTTCCCTATTTTAATCGCGCTCTTTAAAAACTGTTTTCTTTTTCTTTATAGTTAATAACTCTTACTCGACGTTGCACTTTCATTGACTAGTTTTGTGATTATCCAGCGTATTTCGCGAGCGTGTCCGAGGCGCGACGAGCGTTCATCCCCCCACCCCACCCTTACCCCCTCCATCATGTACCTCTGTGCTAGCTACGCGAGCAATCGGACGTCGACGTTTCTCCAACCTTCAATCTTCTATCTTCTCTTCCCTCTTCCGTTCTTCCATATCTTCCTTTCACCTTCTCTTCTCACGTCTTCATTTTTCATCTCCCTCTTCCAATCTATATCGCACGCTTCTTCTTTCGTGATCCGATCACCGGGACAATTTTCCTATACCCGACGGTCAACGCCCTCTGTCGCATCCGAGATCACGTGACTGGCGTCTATCCATCGCGACTAGTCCCAAGAGACGATACATGTGCGATTCGCATCGCCCGAAACGCGACGAGAGCGTGAGATCCTAAGGACGACTTGAATTTACGAAAACAGGCTCGAGAGTCGCTCCACCACAGCTAAAATCGAAGCCAGAAAGCGAAAAGTCAATTTTAAGAATTCTGTTCATCGAGTCTCCAAAGACGAATCAGTGCGATCCAACTACCAACTAATCGAGATCACGTCTGACCGTTTAAGTCGTGTATTTCCGTATTCCTCGAGTTCAATCGTTCCTGTTCTATAGTTGCACGCTCCCGAGACGTTTGCAGCCAATGAATCGCGTCGATACGAGTCAAGACGGTCGCACTGTAATTGACAACTATTAGGTTAGCCGAGACGAGGCACAGCGGGACGCATGGATCGCTGCTTTATCGACCTCTCGAGGCAAAGGCTCGGCTGGCTTCCAGTGGAGCGCTGTCAATCGCAGCATGGCGACTTCGCGAGGAAAACTGTTAGTCCCGGGGGCCATTCGGATGCTACACGGGATGGGGACGGCGTTGACCGACGTTGGACGAGGGAGAAGGTGGACACCTTCGCCCTCGTTGCTGCTTTCTCGTTCCAGCTCCGTGGTCTTTCCGTTTCGTGCCACTCGCAGGTAGCTCGAGTAGTCACAGGGCTCTTTTCGTTGCGACCACGATGACAACGACGACGACGACGACGATAACGACGATGACGACGAGGACGCCGTTACTGCGGCACCGAGTCTGACATCGAATGGTTCGACTGTTGGAAGGCCTTCAGATTGAGCTCGGCTTTGTGCTCCCGCGCGATGTGCCGTCTCACGGTATTGTTCCGCGTGAACGTCCGCGAGCAGAACGGACACGGCACCCTGATACCCTGGTGACGTTGCCGTATGTGGGCCCGCAGATTCGTCTCGTAGCCGTATAGTTTCTCGCAGAACGGACACTTCAGCTTCTTGCCTGAAATCATAGAAATGAGTATGGTTAGTCCAGTGAATAATGTTAACGCGGCCATCTGTGATGGATTATTCGAGTAATTAATTTGCTTCTTGCATTTTTTTAGCATTTCGTAATTTTAATATCATCGGTATAAATATTTTTATCTCTTATGACGCAAATATTCGAATTGATTAATTTTATTCAAATAAGGTTAGTTCTTTGTTACTGTCAGGGAAATTGATATTATTGTCCGTTATAATCTGACATCGGCCTGCAAAATTGTTTAGAAAATGTAATTAAAATACCCGTATGAATTAGAATATTGTTATAAGATTTATATTAATAAATACGTATAGTTTTGAGAACACAGTTCCATAAGGTATTCAAGAGATGAAAATAATGGCTGGCCTAAGTGGAGAAATAATGGTTTTAAATCTTCCTCCAGGGCTTGTTTAGCGGAATCCGAACGATTTCCGGTTTATCCTGACCATCTAATTTGGTGAATCTACATGTAGAATGCGATCTGCGAATTTAGGAAGAAACTATTTTTCTTAGAAGTGGTATTTTTTAAGTAAAATCATTATACTTTTACCACGTGTTTCTTTTCAAATATAAAGAAAGAAATTGTAAATTGCAATTCCGGTCTTTATAAAAGATTTCAAACAATCTTACCATATAGATGTTTCAGATTTATTAACATTCATGAAATTCATTGTATTCATCGTATTCGCAATGTTTATCATATAATGAATCATTTCCCATTCACTTCGCCTTGAACTTATATTCTTTTCTTACATTATCGTCTTCTTGAAGAATAATGATCCAATGCTTGATTGATAACGTTACATTCAACAGGTGACGAAGAACGTACTTTTGAATCACTTGTTTTCATGATCTTTCTCCATATTTCCACGAACGCTATTAATATTGCTAAATACATACAAAAGAAAAAATAACTGCACAAAAAGATAACAAATACCATTAAAAACAAATTAATGATCTTTATGTTTTTGAAGCTCAAGCTCAAATTGTATGTTATCCTCTTCCCGCGGAAACAAATTGTAAGTTTTAGGTTAGAATCTGTAACCAATGACGATCCAAAGAGCGGGTCTCCTATACGCTGTTAAAATTCCAAGAAAAGGTACCTGTATAATAAGTTCGACCGATGTAACTTCAAATGCAAACTTTTCAAATGTGCCCTTTGTTTGTGTCTGTATATACAGCTCATAAGCAGCGCGTGCATGCTGCCGCGTACGTTACACGAGCGTATACATAGAGGCAGAATTCGATGAATAGTATCAAAGTTGAATATCATGAATATTTCGAAAGCCGAGGACGTGCGGTATTAACACGTTTAGAAAAGTTAGTTGAAATTTCCATTTCTGCAAAGAAGTATCAAGGTGAATGAAATGTACCGTGAAACTTAATAGAAACTTGACCGTTCACTAACATCGAATCACGTGAAATGTCCCCAGGGCCCGCGATCGACCTGCACACGCGCGGGCATCGCGGGTAATGGCGCGTGCACGCGTCTAGTAGCGCGGTTCCTTTTTCTCGGCGGATAGCGGTTAAAAATAGAGTCGGGCCATCCTAGAAAAAGTAAACGGGGCCGCGGGGCTCGATTTCGTGCAGCTGACTACGAAATTCACGAAGGATCGCTGGCCGAAGACAAAGGCGAACCCGTAAAGACCACTCTCCGCGCAGGCAACTGAGTGGGGAGCAGAAAAATGCGTGCGCCGACGACAGAAGCTGGACGATGTTAGAAAGAAAGGGCGAACCTTTGACTAGTAAAGGAAAGAATACAGGAGTAACGAAGATGGCAATGTTGAGAAAAGAATGAGGAAGAGCTGCACGAAGATGGTAGTTAGAGAGAGAAAGGGAGATTTAAGAACAGAGGGGAAAGAGATATTACTCTAAGAGGAAGGACATGAGGTAGAAAAGAACGCAGTTGGTAAAAGAAGGTTAGTAACAATGAAGACTAACAGGGATGAGAGAAAATTAAAAGGGAATAAACAACTGGAAAAAAAAGAGAAAAGACAAAGAGGGAGCAGGTAGAAGAGGAGCCCGCGGGGTAGGTACGCCCCTGAAACACGCAGAAACGCAAAACGTCAGTGCCGACGTTTAAAAAGCGAGAACGATCGCTTCCGCGAAAGACTACGCCATTTGCCTTGTCTGGAAATTTTCAGATTTCGTGTGTATCGGCGATTATTACGGGACATGCTCTACCCGGTCACTTTTCTCCCCAACATTTATCGAGATCGAACCTAACCTGTCAGTTAACAGGACCTTCCGGCGTGTTTTTGTGCGAGCGATTACATCGAACAGAATTTGAACTATCGATAATATGTATAACTGTGGGCTTGCAGTTGACAGATATTTTGTGCTGTTGTCACGTTTCGAAATTACGTTAAAGAGGTCCACTTCTTTTTCCTGAATCTCCTTGAAGGATTCTACGCTTCGATTAGGAATTACTGAAAGGTTCGTGATTAAAACGACGTTCCGTATTACTTCCCTTCGTCACGTGCGAAAGTTGGAATAGGTTATGTGAAACCATTGAATTATGTATTATGCAAAATCGTTAGAAAGTGGTATTAGGGGAAATTTTGAAATAAAATTATCGGATCGATGATTTGAATCAATGACATGATTATTCTATTGGATGAATTATAACCTAAAGGAAAATATTATGATTGATATCAGTTTTCGTAGCCCCGTGTTAACGATCTATATAGTTCACAACGAAAATTCATCGATTGATCGTTGAAGATCCAAGTTCCATAAAAAACGTGATACCGCTATGTCAAACAGCTCGTAAACATAGCAGTGGAAATTATAATACTAATACATTCGTGAACTCACGTCATTTGTAATCTTCTTTTAGGTTATTACTGATACTCCTACGCAGCAACTCGCGTGCAGCGATTGCAGTGATAATAGAAAATGAATAAGACACAAAGTAGTACAAGACAAGAGGTGTTTTTTCTGGATGCTCTGGAAGACAAATAATTCGCTAGCCAGTACGTGATTATCAGGCAACGAAAAAGTCGTGTGGTTGCAAACGAAAAAAGAACTGTCATGCGCTCGACGCGCAGTATATTTATATTACATAACCTAACTTCACGTCTCGTCGAGTAGCAGTGGTGCGTCTTCGATGCATTTTATGAACATCGATGCAACTTTCAAATTTCTTTTTTCAGCATAATTTATTGCATCTTCCATTTTATAATAACAATTTGTAATAAAACTGTTATTCGCGTAAGTATATATATTTTTTCTTTTTTCAATATTTAGGTATTAAATTATTGACACAGATATCAATTTTTTTTCCTGCTTTTAGGAATCTTTGTAAACAATTTTGACACTCGACGTTTTAAAGAAATGGAAACATTGAAGATGATTAGGAAAAGATGCGTCACAGAAAATTGTCGCAACGAAATGAAAATGTGGTTAGGTCGAAATAGATTCGAAGGCTATAACGGAGCTAAAAGATCGCGAGTGCACGTGGAACGGGAAGACATGCAAAGAATGCAGAAGAACGTCCTTTCTCCCCGATGCTGTAATTTTCGGGAAAAATTATTTTGAGCGTGAAGCTCGACTACACGTGCGTGTAGCAAAATTCGCGGAAGGTGACCCTGACACGTGCTTGCAGAATAATAATACTGTAACGCGGTGATACCAGTTCAGTAACGATACGATGCATGCAAATAAATAATCACCTTTTCGCAATCGAGGTCATTCTCGTTAAATTAAATAATTATGGATTTGTCGAACGACGACGTGTTTCTTCATGGAAATTTCGATATCTTTTATGCACGATTCAACAACGATATAATTTCTACACATTTCAGTGGGAAATAATGAACCTGATTATTTCTCTCGTGTTTCACAAGATATCCTAGGTAATAATTTTCATTTTATTACGAAAAAATATACACGTAGCGGTGATTATGAAAGAGGCCAAAGTGATACACCTTTCATTTCAAAATATTTAAAATTTCGTGGCTCAAATATATTATAAATTAAAAAATTTATTACGACGAAGCTACAAACTCAATCCAACAAATGCAACACAGAATAAATGATAAAATGATTTTAGAATTCTTCACTTAGACCACTTTCATAATTACCAGTACATGTAAAATAACACATATAATATTACAAAAATCGAGAACCAGTGTATACCTATATACAACTCAAACATCTTACTTAACCGAGATTACATTGCATAAAAATATTTCCAACGAAGAATCGAGTTAATCGCAATAATAAGCCCTCGTCCATGAAACTTTCCATAGCTGTTCCAAAAATCACCGAACATCATTTCAAAATCCGACTTGAAATCACCTTATCATTTCTCAACCCAATCTCAAGATCGTTTAATCCCTAATCTCATTCCAGGTCCCACGTCACTCGAGGTGAATTATCAACACATCCAAAGATCGCCTACGGACTGCTTATGTATCAAACGAAAGGAGACCAAGTTTTCTCGAACACGGAGACCCTGAGACCATCGACGCGGAGTTGACGGAAAACACGAGGTTCCCGATTCGACCTTCGATTGGCCGCGCGTGCTCGAAGGGCCTGGCGAGGCGAGGAAAGCCCGCAACAGTCCACTCAGATCTTCGTGGGCTAGGAGTAGGGGAAAATGGAAAGGTTCGGTTACGGAGACGCAGCAGCCTCCAAGGTCTTCCCCACCCATAGCCTCTGGCCTGACCCTTTTCCTCCCTTTTCAGCTGAATGGATCGAACAGACGAAGGAACGAATAACAGAAAGAAAGCCTCGATACAGCCCTACCACAACTCGCGACGGCTTCCTACGATCGATCCAACGCACCGCTGGATATCGGCAATCTTATCACAAGAATTTTCGTCCTGGGCTCATCCGCTGGAACGTTTTCGTTCATGTCACATATAGACTACTTTGATTCTACGAGTTACGTAATGTTACTGAGCTTGAAGATCTGACAGGTATAGAATGGGAATAATTCCTTGAATAACCCTTATTTCAATTGTTTCCGGATTACATGGATTTGTGGATGTAGTAGAGCATTGGAGATGACTATAAGGGATATTTTTGTTGCAGTCATTGTATAAGAGGCCAAATGGATTTGGTAATCTTCTTTTGTTATAAATGGATTACATGGGTCTATGATAAATATTGAATGTTATTACTGGATTAAGAGGTGACTGAAGTGGTATAAAGATTGGGAATATACTTTTTCTGTTACATTGGATGGAAAATATAAGATTGAAGGTAAAACCAGAGCATCTTCAGATTCTTCTGAGCAGTGTATTGTACAAAAACAATGTTTGGATAGAAAATTGATGGTCTTAAAGGAGATGAATGTTTTCGTTACCGCGAAATGAAGTTTTAATAACGTGGAATGAACTGTCCAGTGAATCTCAAACAGCGATGATTACACGAAAAAGAATACATGAAAAGTAACTTGAAAAATGCAGACAAACTTGGAACTCGAAGCAGGTGCATATTTTGCAGCTGCTAAGTTAAACGATGCAAATGAGTAGATTAGATTACGCTTAATCCATCGGGATTCTTAAATTTAGATACTTCGAATGCGTTCGCGATTTTTATTGAGATTGCTCGTCTCGTTATCGTTCGTTTTATCTTCTACAGTATTACTCTAGATATAAATATCCTGCGAGTCAATATTAAATGACACAAAATCCCGACAACACGTGATTGACAATAATATCACTTTGATCAATTTCGTAGTGCTATACTCTGTTAATCAACAAACCGTCTGACGTCATATCGTGCACTCGTTCTTAATTTTCAAGAATTCGTGGAAGGAATAAACGGTTAATGTATTTTATTACCTCTCTTATGGAACTATAACTACTTTATTGCTAGTTTTATCGTTATTGGTAATTATGTTGTTCTCTCATACATAAGTAAAAAGCAACAGAAATATAAGGAAAGTCGTATAGGGA